TGGCGGCAGGGCTGAGGCTGAGCGGGCCCGGGCTGGGCCCGCAGTCCCGACCGCCCTCCGCCCGGGTGTTGCCGAGCCCGGGGGGAGGAGAGGCCAGGTAGCAGCGGGTGTTGCGGTCCCGGCTCAGAAGCCGGAGGGTTTTGGGGTGTTTTGGTGGATTTTTCGGCAATGTGGGTGTAGCTGAGCGGGGCGGGGGGGGGGGGGGGGGGGGCCTGTCCCGGCCCCGGCGGCTGCAGGAGGCGGTGAGGGGAGTGACTTCGCCCCCCTCCCCGCCTCGTTGGGTGCCTGACAGCGGAGGGGGTGCGAAATATCCTCGCGGGTGGGAGCCTTGGGCTTTTCCTTGGATCTCCGAGCCTCTCGTTTGGATCTGGGAGTCGTGTCTGGGTCGTCACGGGAGCTCAGTGAGGGAACGGGCGGGAATCAGGCACGGGGAGGAGGAGGATGAAGAGAAGGGGTTCAGCCCCCGTTTCCTCACAAGCTGGGTGTCTGCCGGGCAGACCCTGAAGGGCAGCACCAGCAGCCTCTGGACTTTGTTCTGCAGCTCCCAGAGAGGAATCATGGAATCATTTAGATTGGAAAAGGCGCGCTTTTCCTCTCAGACCCTGCAGAGAAGCACTTAAGAGGAGGCTGATTGCTACCCGGGGTGGATTTCCAGCGGGCGCCAGAGGTGGTCTTCAGCAAAGGGTTTGAGATTGCGGGGGAAGGAAGGCTGCTCATTTAAGAACCTGTTATGATAATGGAGGACCAAAGGGTTTCCCCGATCAATAGTGTGTCTGTCCCGTGGTAGCTGGTCACGGTGAGCCAGACAAAGCCCGTCTGGCTCTTCACCCTTCGATTCTTTCAGGGTAGTACCGGGGTTGGGATGATGCTCCCAGTGATTTGCATCTGTCTTGATGTGAGAGAAGACTTGGGCTGGACTTTACCACTGCGTTTCAGTCCTGGAGAGCTCAGCGAGGACTCTGAAGTTCTGCTGCTGAGTAACAGCTTCCTTTTTTTTTTCTTTTTTGCAATGTTCTTTATATTGCTTGGTGTGTAGAGAAAAACAGCCGCTTGTGCAGACAAAACGAAGTGAAACAGGCAGGAGGTGCAGATGGCGGCAGAGTCAGAAAAATAGTAACAGTCACCCCAGAATTGGGACTCCTTTGAATTTAAGCATTGTTTGTTAATCAGGGTGGAAGAAGTGGCCACTTGGCTTTTGTAATTCTTTATCGTGTACGAGTACAGTTCCAGGGCGCGGCAATACCTGCATGGAGATATTTTGATATGTAGATTTACTTCTGAATGAATAGTACATCTGAAAGAAAAACAGGAAAAGGAAACTGGCGAGTAGGTGCAGCTTAGAAAGAAATGATGGCAAAGTAGTGAAACTGGAATTGCAGAAAAAAATTGCAGCTACCAAGACTTCATAGATACAAGTGACCTGTCTTCCCTGGATAACTTCTGGTGGGAGCTTGTATAAAGAGTCTCCAGCTCAGAATTTGTGTGAAAATTGTATTTTAAAGGACTGACGTTTCTCTCCTTCAGCAGAACATGCTGTTCTGCAGCACATTTCTCTGTTATCAAGAAAGTAAATTTTTATTAGACAGCAAGTGTTGGGGTGTTCAAGTGTTCTGCGCCAGTGTAGGTACAGAAAACATGCTCAAATGCTTGGAAAAATGGAAACGGTTGGCTCTTTATAGCCTGGCAGTAAGTAAATGCTTCTGATGGCAGTTGTGATTCTTTAGTTTTCGTATGTTTGACTAGGCTTTTTGCTTTTTAAATTTAGGTACTTCAGTTTCGTACCTTATGACTGGCTATACAGGGTGTATCACTTGCATCTTGTCCTGACGTTTATTTAAAACAAGTGGGGTTCTTAAATTGTCTTAACTCTGCTGAAATGCTGGTTTTTGACAACCCTTTCACCCTTGTGCTGATCCAGTGCTGCACGGTCAGGAAGTAAAAGGTATACCCTTATACTAAAATCCCCAAGTACTTTGTTCCATCCAAACTCCAGGTTTCTCCTTCTCAGAGCCTGCTCATTTGCAGGCATTTAAAGGATTATATTTCCCTAAACTATTCTAGGGGTACCTGATGGGAGACCTTGTGCTTTTGTGCTTTGCACTGTTGGGAAAGCGTTGGGGAAATTTCTGCAAAAAAGCTTTCTAGGGCTCTAGGGCAGCTACAGTCTGGTTCACAAGAGGGATCTGAAATCTAAGAGGTCTTCTGCTCTGGATCCTCCTTCCATTAATATTTCTGCCACGGAGCACTAACCTAGAGCCAAGGAATGGAGCTGGCTGCGAAAAGCACGGGAGGTATCTGGAGAGTCTGGTCTGCCTTTCCAAGGGGTAAGGAAGGTTTTGGCAAGAGCACTGTCCACTGGGCTCTTTTTCCAGTGTGGAACCATAATCCTACTAACAACTTCCTTCTTCCACGTGGTGCCATGCTAGGATTAATTTTATGCCTAAGGGGAAATCCCCCCGGTGCTGTCTTATAACCAGCTCTTCTGCAGCTGATCAAGCACTGCAGGTTGACTGCAAAGCCAGGATAAGATCTGTGTAGGGACAAGTGAGGACTCTTGGTGTCTTGCTGGTCCTGTGGCAGTACCGTCACTGCCTCGTGGGAAGATATGGATTTGGTCCCTGGGCGCTTCAGGACTTGGCTTTGGGGACGCTGTTGCTACTGGGCATCCCCAAGAATCTCACAGGAAAGACATCTCAGTGGATGGCAGCAGTTGAACGTAGGTCATAGAGTCATAGTCATAGAGCTGTCCAGGCCGGAAGGGACCTCCAAAGGTCATCTAGTCCGACCTCCCCGCAGTCAGCAGGGACCCCCCCAACTAGCCCAGGTTGCCCAGGGCCTCATCGAGCCTCTCCTTGAATATCTCCAGGGAAGGGGCCTCAACCACCTCCCTGGGCCACCTGTTCCAGTGCTCCACCCCCCTCACAGTGAAGAACCCTCTCCTAATCTCCAGTCTAAATCTGTTCCCCTCCAGCTTGAAGCCATTGCCCCTCATCCTGTCACTGCAGGCCTTTCTAAACAGGCTCTCCCCAGCCTTCCTGTAGGCTCCCTTCAGGTACTGGAAGGCTGCTATTAGGTCTCCCCAGAGCTTCCTCTTCTCCAGGCTGAACAACCCCAGCTCCCTCAGCCTGTCCTCGTAGCAGAGGTGCTCCATCCCCCTGATCATCGTTGTGGCCCTCCTCTGGACCCGCTCCATCAGGTCCATGTCCTTCTTATATTGAGGGCTCCTCTGTCCCCACCACAGGGCAGGGAAGTCCCTGGGAGCTGGGAATGCTGAGGGGCTGCCCTGGGGGGATGGAGGGGGGGGCAAAAATGTTTCCTCAGCGTGGGGTGCTGAGCTGTGGGGCTGCTGGGCTGAAGCAGGGAAGGCTTTAAGAGCACTGAGTCATAGGAGTTGGTGCCTGACGTTTCCATAGAAATGGGATCAGCTGCTAGGGGTGGGGAGTCCTCGTTTGTCCCTTGGCTCCACTGCTGCGTGGTTCCACCGTGAGCTCACACTACAGGGGAACCTGATTTCTTGCTCCGTGTCCCTCTGATATCAGAGGAGCTCAGGCAGCTCTTGCCAGAGGGCAGGGAGGAATTTTGCTTGGGTCTGTGCTTGGCTGCAGTGGTCAGACCCTGTGTGTTTGCTCTGCTGCCTTGCTCTTTCATATTTCAGGCATCTAATTCCATTTGCTTATCACCAGCTCCCAGGTAGCTCCAGAGAGGTGAAAACTGGTTGTAAACTGGTAACAGATAAGGGAGGACAGGAAGCAGTAAGCATGGAGCGATCCAGAGGGAGAGGACAAACACTGAACATCTAATTTTCTGTACTCTCAACATGCATCCCCGAGTTTGGTCACGAGTGTTGCCCTGAGCATGGACGTGGTGCCTTCTGATGCTCAGCCTCTCAGAGTTTTTGTTTTTTGTGCTTACATCCCAGTAACTGTTTTGTCATCTCTGGATAAATAGACATGTGCAAGCTCTAAGGATGGAAGATGGAAGACATCGTTGCCCCACTCTATTCTATTAAAGGAAATAGCTTTACTGTGAATATAATCTTTCCACACAAAGGCGTCGTGCCTCCTCAGATTGTCTTTGAAGCCTTTGCTCTCCTCGTAATGCAAAACAAGCACAAGCCTGTCTGAGAAGCAGCGTTACAGAGTCTTGCTGATGCAAGGTGTCATTGTGTTTTGCTACAGTTCCTCTTGGCTTGCGGCCCTGTTGGCCACTGAATTACCGTCCCTGTGGGCTGTGTGAGCAATCCACATCTACGTACTTGTCCTTTCTAGTGTTTCCTTGCTTATTTCCAGGATGCTGACTTTAGAGCCCAACAGCTGTTTCCTAGGGGTTGTTCCTGAGAACTGGTACCCTTGGGATGTGCTGCATCCTGTGCTAGCTCAGTCTGGGGTTTGACATATCTTCTGCTCCAGCTGAGTGAGAAACATTTGCAAGCAACAGCAAACACACTGAGCTGCCTGTTGCTTGGACCCTCGTAATTCCTTGGTCTCCTCAGTATTACGGCATGGTTGGTGACAAATACTCATCCTGGCAATATGGCTTTAAAATTAATTAAAAATTAAAAGATATGACGGCTTGCTGTCATGTAGGAGAAGGGATTTTCTGGGTGATGCTGAGAAGAGATGAGGGTTGTATGTGTATTGTTCTCCCCGTCTTACTAGCTCAGCCTACCAAATCCTGTTTGAAGAAGCTGTTTGTTCACTTCTGCGTTCAGATCCCAGCAGGCTGAAGCACCCACTTCAGTGCTGTTGAGAGCTCTGGCCCTTCCTTCCAGGGAGAAGAGAGGAGGGGTGATTCCTGGGAAAGCTTCCAGCACTGGGCTGACTGTGGAAAGAGCTGGGCTGGGTGCCAGCCCTCGGGAGGGAGAGGGAGCTCACAGAGCTGATACCACGAGTGTATCGGGCAGGGGCTGGTATAGCTTGTCCCTTCCTCAGCGTCTTGCTGCTGCTCCTGTTTTGGGAGAGAAACTGGACAGAGCTGGGGCCAAGCAGTGACTCACTGGGAGAGTTGGTACAGGCTCTTCCTGGCCTTTTGATAGTATTTGGCAGGAAGGAATGTGACATATGTCAGTGCTTCTGGCTTGGAGGAGGAGGAGGAGGAGTTCCTGCCTGTGTTAAGGGGGAGGGGAGGTGTGATCTCCGGGTAAGTGAAGATAAGGGAGGATTTGGGGAAAATCAGTGAGAAGAGTCTCCATGGGGAGGTAAACTTGTGATCTCTGTGTCTCACCTAGCAGTCTCCAGTCCTCCTTCTAGACGCTGCAAAATAAACTGCGCTGTGTGGGGACCATGGCTACAGACCCACTCTCGGAGCTTCAGGATGACCTGAACTTGGATGATACCAACCAGTCCCTCAGCCAGCTCAAACTGGCCTCCATAGACGATAAGAACTGGCCAGCAGACGAAGCCCCTGCTTTTCCCAAAACAGGTAAGTATTCTGATTGTTTGAGGTCTGGGTTTTGGCCAAAAAGAAATGGTTTGTCCTGCAGCATTGTGGTCATATCTACATATACAGAGAGCCCCAGCTCCATTTGAAAGCTTTATAGACTCATTAAATCTTGCGCCACACCCAAGTGAATTAGCCCAGCCATTGAACAGCACTAAAAAGCTCAGAGCCAGCTGATGGAAATAGAGTCTTCTGTGGCTGGCTGCACTTTAGTGCTGACATACAGACGTGCTGTAAGTCCTTGAATGTCCTCTGTTGTGGTCCCTTGAAGGATAGTTTGGCCTTCTTGAGTGGAAGGGTCTTGAACTTCCGTGTGGGAGGTGGGCTGGAGGTCCGAGTTGTTGCTCTGAAATCCTGTGCTATGGGACTGCAGCCCAAAGAGGTTAGGGAAATTAATTCCATGGCATATAGGGTGGCCATCTATCAAGGCATGATTTTAAGATCCTCCTGCTCTAAAAAGCCATGATGGTGCCGTTGGCCCTTGGTTTTGGTCTTTGTCAATGTTTGTGACGCATCTTGTTTATGATACATCTGAACAGTTGTTTTTGAGAGGGTATACGGTGTGAGGGACATGTATGGACCTCATAGGGTTGACAGGTCTCTTCTGAAGCCATTGCTGCTCTTGCCCACTCAGAATGTCAAAGGTGGGTTTCCAAGGGGGACATACATTAGTCCCTCCCATGTTAAAGAACCATTTTTTCTCATCCCTCTACCTGTATTGTACCCCATGCCAAGGTGCTTCAGATCCCTTCTTCTAATTGCCCGTTCTTGTGTTTTGTGCAGAGGACTCCAAAGGCTCCCCCGAGCCCGTCACTCACCTGCAGTGGGATGATCCCTATTATGATATCGCCAGGCACCACATCGTGGAAGTAGCAGGTAATGGTCTTTCTGATTTCTCTCTTGATGTCTCTGCAGCTGAGCTGAGCATTAGTTCCTCCCATGTTAAAGAACCATTTATTCTCATCCCTCTACCTGTATTTGTATTGTACCCCATGCCTAGATGTACCCCATCTAGAAGAAGATCCCTTCTCCTAATTGCCCGTTCCTTGTGTTTTGTGCAGAGGACTCCAAAGGCTCCCCCGAGCCCGTCACTCACCTGCAGTGGGATGATCCCTATTATGATATCGCCAGGCACCACATCGTGGAAGTAGCAGGTAATGGTCTTTCTGATTTCTCTCTTGATGTCTCTGCAGCTGAGCTGAGGAAGGGCCTTTCTAATGGGGGTTATGGGGGCATCTGCTGTATGCCAGGCCCAAGTGGCAAGGACAGCTGGCAACATAAACAGAAGAAACTTCTTGAATGTTTGCAATAAATGTAATTTTCCACTTACCTCAGTTAAACTTGCATTCCTTCTCTCTCACCGTCTTTGATTATGTTATTAGTGGGACTCGGTTGCTTTTGCTGAATTTTTTTAGATGTGGCCCTTGGCTATATCCTGAGCCCAAGTTGTGTTTTTTTGCATGATAATGCTACAGAAGTGACCTTGTTAGGAATTAGGGCTGCAAGGTCTTCAGCTGCCAGAGTAATCCACAGTAGGTCTGGCAGCTCTCTATTTATTATATCTGAATGGCCAGAGCTCACCATCCTGGCCAGAAACAGCATCTGAAATAGGGGGAAGAGGCCCGTGTCCCACTCCAAGGAAGGACCTGATCATTCAGGGTGACAAGCATTCAGATTTTCTTTGTGTGGTTGTCTTATCCATATTATTTTAACTATAACTAACCCTTGGCAACTTACTGCTGGGACCTCCATAAGAAAAGGTTTTGGAGGTAGGTTTTAGGTTGCTGTGGTGAGTCTGAGGGAAGGGTAATCCCAGTTTGTCTTGCATTTCTGGTTTAAAAAAAAAAAAAGCACCTCTTCAGCCTGTTGTGACTTGATACACACTTCCTCCTTGGCTATCTATAGCCATCTCCTACCCCTCCCATTGCCATTTCTGTGTACCTTGGTCACTGCCCCACGTGTGAATTTGCAGGGAAGCAGAGGCACAAGGTGGAGTCCTCCTGATTTAGGGTTGTTCTGCAGCAGGGTTTGACCATAGAGGGAAGATTCTCAGCCACTTACCTTGGTAAGAGTTGTCCTGACATCTTTTCTGGGATGTCCTCTAGAATGAGCTTTCTTGTAACCTCTCACGTGTGATCTTTTGGGGAACAAAATGATAATGGTAAACTCAAAAGTAGTTGTCCTTTGTCTCCTCTGTTCCTTTGGCTGACAGGTCTGCTGTTCAGCATTTGGGCCATTAATGTCTCGTAGATTTGCCACAGGTGCTTTCATTTGCAAATGTGTTAGTAATCTTCTAATCCTTGGGGCTGGAGTTTCAGGAGTGAAGCCGATGGGGGTCTGCTCTCTGGTCTCCCTGTTGTTGAAACTGGGAAGGGACAGACGTGTGGACTCCACCATTTGGGTGATTTTACCTAGAATATTCGCATTCGAACGGCAGAGGTAACTGGTGTTTCTGGACTAAATGTGTTAGTAATCTTCTAATCCTTGGGGCTGGAGTTTCAGGAGTGAGGTTGATGGGGGTCTGCTCCCTGGTTTCCCTGTTGCTGAAACTGGGAAGGGACAGATGTGTGGACTCCACCATTTGAGTGATTCTACCTAGAATATTCACATTTGAACGGCAGAGGTAACTGGTGTTTCTGGACTCTGGGAGTTGATGGGTTAAATGATACTGTTGTTGACTTCAGACAAAGTGCTTAGCAGAGAGCTTAGATCGGAGACATTGATAAGGCTGGAATGTCAGCCCAAACCAAGGATGTACTTTGTGTGCTGCCTCCTGACTGAAGCACCAGCCTTTCTGCGGCATTTCTGTGCCGAGGTAACAACATACTCTTTTTTTTTTCAGAATATTCGCATTCGAACGGCAGAGGTAACTGGTGTTTCTGGACTCTGGGAGTTGGTGAGTTAAATGATACTGTTGTTGACTTCAGACAAAGTGCTTAGCAGAGAGCTTAGATCGGAGACATTGATAAGGCTGGAATGTCAGCCCAAACCAAGGATGTACTTTGTGTGCTGCCTCCTGACTGAAGCACCAGCCTTTCTGCGGCATTTCTGTGCCGAGGTAACAACATACTCTTTTTTTTTTCACAAGCTCTCTGAATGGAGTATCACTCCAGTGGAGGTGTGTCTCAGTGGCTGTTGGAAAGCAGCCATTTCACACGTTGTTTAGGATAGCAGCTAACTTCCTGAAAGGATTCTGGGGTGGTCTGATGGCTGACTGGGAGGTGTTTCTGGATTCCCAAAGAGATCTCTTCCCCGTTGTGATTTAAATCTGTGTTTCTAGTGAACTCTCTGCCCCTGTCCTGTCTCTTTGTAGCGCAGAAGCAGCTCGGAGAAGCTTCTGAGCTTCTGTTGTTGGCTGCTTCTGGCCACTTTTCACCAATAGCTGGTTTTTCTGAAAGCCTGTGATGGTCCCCCACACACAACGTGGTGTGATGCCTTTCTTGGCATCCGAAGAGCTAGTAACAGTGGATTTGCTGCCACATGGTTTTGAGGCTTGCTGATGTCTCATCTCCTAAGCTCAAGACAGTGGATTTGCTGCCACATAGTTTTGAGGCTTGCTGATGTCTCATCTCCTAGAAGCAGGATTTATGAAGGTGATCCAAGGGGTCTAAACTGTAATCTGGGCTCTGGGATGAAGCTGTTTTTAAGGTTTTCTCGGTCAGTAATTAGTAACTGTTGGGAGAATCAGACAGGGTGATGTTCTCTGGGCTGTCGTTGGAGGCAAACAATCTGGGAAAATCTGGGAAAATCCTATTAGAAGTAGCCCGGAGAATCAAAATCTCACTGGAGGATTAAAATGGAACTGTTGAAGTCTGGTTCTGCTGACAAATTGTGCTTCTCAGCACCTTCGGGTGCAATGAATGCTCCCGCGCTGATCCCGAAACAAAAGAGCTCCACCCTCGTTTTCTTGTAAATATTAGCAAGTGGCAGCAGACCAAGGGTAGTTTTATCCATTCTGCTGATTTATGAGCTTTCTCTTCCCTGTCCTTCCCTGTTCTGCACTTCAGAGCAGAAAGCATATGGCTAATTCTGTTCCGCCTTCCCTGAAATATATTCTGGGATGATGATGCTATTTTGAGGCAAAAAAAGCAGAAGGCTAGTTCCCATCCTCAGGCTGACCTCTGTGATCCCAGGGTTATCCTGTGTGGCCAGAAAAGTAATTGCTTCTTGCAGGATGGGTTCAGAGTGTTAATAACTTATTAAATGCCCAGTTTTGATGACAAAAAGTTAGTGTGTTCATTTTCTAGCTGACCTTAATTTCTGATTCAGGTCAAGGCATGCTGGATTTGAATTTAGCTATCTGGCCTGAAGAGGGAAAAAATGTTGAAAAACCTTTTGCAGAATTTGTAAGAAAAATATGGGGTTTGGTTTTTGTTTTTCTACTTAAAAATAGTGCAGCAGTTTCATGGAGAAAAGGGGGTTGGTTTTGTTTTTTCACTTAAAAATAGTGCAGCAGTTTCATGGAGACTGTCCTTTTTGCCCTGTGCTCCTGTGACTGGGATCTTCCTGGAAAAGGCTGTCTGTGGGAAGATTGGAGCCAAAGGCATCCAGACCACAGTTCTGTTGTCCTTTTTGCCCTGTGCTCCTGTCGACTGGAATCTTCCTGGAAAAGGATGTCTGTGGGAAGACTGGAGCCAAAGGCATCCAGACCACAGTTCTGAGGGACTACCATGGCATTGTTATGAACCAGAATATTTTAGTTGTGGGAAAGCTTTTGGTTCTGGGATTCAATCCTTTTCTGAAGTAAAGAGATGATACTCTCTGTATCCTTTCAGGCCTGCCTTAGGGGTTGTGTTTCATGCAGGCTCTGGAGAGGTCCCTGCATGGTTGTGCTGAGTCCAAGTTCCTCTTTTTGTGAGCCTCGTAGCAGAGAAATTAGTCTTTACACGTGGCTAGAAGCTGGAGCAGAGGCAACTTGATTTCACTACCCAAACCACTTCTGCAAAGTGTGGTTTTTTTCCTTGCTCACGTCGCATAGCATTTGGAGGAAATGCAAACGTTTGGTTGAAGGCTGTTGAGGAACTATCCCAAATTTCTGTTACGTTTAAGTGTTTTGGTCTCCTCCTACTAATTCTTACATGGCAGAGGTGCTGCTTCCATCTCCTTCAGGCTTGAGGCAGACTGGAGTGATGTGATCTTGGCTCTGAATTTCAGCAGAGGCTGAATTGCAAGAGGTACAGCCAGCAGCTAGTGAACAGTCTGAAGGAGGTCTCTGGAGATGGCAGTTCCTACTGGAAACCTGGGGCTGTGTGGGAAGAGCAGGGCTCTTGACAGCTGTCTGCCAGTGTGTTCCTCGTTGTTCTGCCCAGTTTGAAATGCTGGTCTTGCTTTTGTGGTCAGTATGAAAACCTGTAGCTATGAGGTGCATCAGCGTATTCCCATTTTACACAATAACTGGCTTTCTTCCTTTTGGGATAAGAAAACTGGGGCTCAACCTGTGATTGACATATGAATTCTGTGCTGCTGTGGAGGCTAGAAGTTGGCGTAGTGGTTGTCAGGAGAGTGGCGATCACTGTTTACTTCGGCTATGGAGACCCTGCCCAGAGACTTCAAAGATTTGCTGAAGCTTGGAGCATGTTTCTGCTGGTTTTTGTGGGCAGTCTGCTGCTTCCCACCATTATTTGGCAGTTTGCAGGGCTGCCCTCCCAGAGGAGGTGTGATGGAGTGTGTGTAATACCTGAGATCGAAGTGGCAAAGCGAGATGGAGAGCTGGGGGTCTACCTTCTTGCACGTTCCTAGATTGAAGCTGCAGTTTCAGCAGTGAATTTTTTTTTTTCCAATGGTGAATCTGGCACCAAACCTACCACTAAACAGGCAAAGGCAGAAGTCGCAGACAAAACTTGTGTTGAAAGGATGTTGCAGTGCATCTTTGGTGG